CTGGAGGTCCCCCCCGGACTCCAGCAGGGTCACGGCCGCCCGGGGGGTCCCTGCGCCTCCTCTGCCAAGGACAAGGATTCGATTTCGGGAAATTCACCATGTACTGGGTGCGCCAGAAATCCGGGAAGGTGCTGGAATACGTCGCACAGATCAGCAGTGATGGTGGCAGATCCTGGACCGCACCGTCTTTGCGTGGCCGGTTCAGGATCTCCAGGGACAACGGGCAGAGCTCGGTGACGCTGAGCATGAACAACCTCCAGGACGAGGATTCCGGCGTTTATTTCTGTGCCAAACGTTACAATGATGGTTACAGTGCTGGGGCTGCTTTTATTGGGGACCATCATGGCCGTGGCCCCACCACCCATGATGGATCCCAAAACGTCTCCAATTTTTGGGTATTTCTCCCCCAATCCCCAGGTTTTTGTCCCAAATCTGGGCCCTTTCCCCCCAAAGCCGGCCCCTGCTGCCCCAGCTCCCGCGTTTCTCTGCAGCTCGCAGCCTCTGACCCCGAGCCGACTCCTCTGTGCCGTGGGGAGATCCCAAATGAAAGGAAGCTCAGTTTGGGCTGGGATTTGATGGTTTTGTTCAGAGCCGGGGGCACAAGGCCGGAGCCAGCGGAGATCGCTGAGCGTGGGGATGGAAGCCACGGCTCAGGGGGGCAGCTGTGGGGTACAAGTCTCTGCTCAGCAGCACCAAATCCGGAGGGTTTCACCCCAAAAACTGCCCCGAGGGCCGAGGGTGGGGATTGGGGTCAGGGACGGAGATTTGGCTCCAAAATCGGTGGTTTTGGGGCAAAAAACAGGGGTTTGGGGATGCAACGACGAGTGTGAGGCAAATTCCAGCCGCTCTGAGCCACCACTGGCACCGTCACCATAACTGGCAGCAGTCCAACAATTGACACAGGAGGCTTTGGCACAGAAATAAACGCCGGAATCCTCGTCCTGGAGGTTGTTCATGCTCAGCGTCACCGAGCTCTGCCCGTTGTCCCTGGCGATGGTGAACCGGCCCTGCACCGACGGCGCGTACCAGGAGCTGAAACCATCGTTGGTCATACTCGCGACGAATTCCAGCGTCTTCCCGGGTTTCTGCCGGATCCACAACATCGCAAAATCCCCGAATGTGAATCCTTCCCCGCGGCAGAGGAGGCGCAGGGACCCCCCGGGGGGCTGGAGGTCCCCCCCGGACTCCAGCAGGGTCACGGCCGCCCGGAGCCCTGCGGGAAAAAGGGGAGATGGGGATGAGGCAAAGCCGGATCCGGGCGGCCGTGACCCTGCTGGAGTCCGGGGGGGACCTCCAGCCCCCCGGGGGGTCCCTGCGCCTCCTCTGCCGTGGGGAAGGATTCACATTCGG